GCCTTCCTCCCTATCCCCCAGCCTTTCGAAGGCGGAGTTTCGGGAGGTCGCTGGCCGGATGTTTTTTCCTTTCTTCTTCTTGTGGGCCCTCGGGATGTCCCACTCGCCGTTATCGCTCTCAATCGAGACGCAATGACCATCAGGAGTGACCTGCGGATCCGTAGCTTGCGGGGGACGCGACGGCCCCGCGCCGTTAAGTGCGCCGGCCAAGTTGACAGGGGCCATGGTGCTGACCAGCTGGGGCTGGAAAGGTGATGGTTGTGGCACCGGCGTCTGGAACGACGTCACCACCATCGGAGCTTGTAGGGGCATGGTCCCCGCGCCTGGAAGGGCGAATGGGAACATACCAGGGAGGAATGGCATCCCCCCGTTCTGCTGGCACATGGCCATGACCTGGCCAAAGCCCTGGATGGCCTGTAGGTTGGCTGAGTCATTCATGAACTGAGTCATGCTTGGTGGGAACGTTACCCTCGGTCCAGCGGAAGGGACGGGGGTCACGAAGGGACTGATCACGCTGGCCGTCGAGACAGAGCTCAGACCCAAAGGCAACACCGGGGGAGAAATGACCGGTATGGTAGCAGCCACAGGGATGCTGGCGCCCTCCTTGGTGGCTTGCACCTGAGCGGAAGTAGCGTTGATTTGTTGGCTGGAAGACATTTCGAGTGGTGTTTTGGTGGGTAGGTTTGTGTTTAGGAGAAGAAACCTTAACGGTCCCACGGGTGGCGCCAAAAATGATGGTGTAAATTACTTGACCGGTCAAACTATACTAGACCGGGTCTAGAATAGTTTGTTTGATTTGGCAAAGTAAGAAAGCTAAAAACTCGCAGATTGACCGGTAGGACTTTAGGTGGAACACCTGTAGCCCAATTTATATTATAACGGAGAATGCACGGGTGCTTTTATAAGGGAGTTTAGAGAGAATGAATTCGGTTCCCCCTTCTGAGGTTTACAAGGGGTATATATACTAAGCTGGGGGGACAGGTCCATGTGCGCCCACGTGGGGGCACGTCGCTGACGTGGTGTGAGATGACTGTCCCTGAGCCGCCTTGTCATCTTGCGAAGGGGATTTCCCTCCTTGTCACGTTCTGGCTTGGAAATATTCCTCCAGGATCTCTGCAATTCCAACCACTAAAGTCCAAGTCCTTTTGGACTCCTCCTGCCGACATTCCTCGAACTCTAAAAGTTGTACCGGTTGATTTCTGAAGGCTTGGATTCATTGTCTTCGGAATCGGTTCCTGCTGATGGAATAAGCTGACCGATATACTTTCCGAAGTGTACCGGTCCACTTTTTGGTCGCTCGGTGGTTCATTCAGATCTCTCTTCAAAGTTTGACTTATTTGACCGGTCAACTATCCGGTCCTGACCTTTGACCGGTCGTGGGTGAAATACACCCATCACACATTACAAAAAAAGTTTAGTAATATGCACATGTACAGTGCCACATTACAATAATATTATCACAGTGTAAATTACTATTTCGAGGAAAAAAATATGAAAATTTTATTTTACTACTTTTCTTTATATTTTAGTCTTATTTGAGATGATTTCTATTCTATATTCTCAAATTTTTCAGTAAATTTTGAGATGGATTTTTATACAAATTACAATGAGATATTTTTAAAGATATGCAGCGATAAATTTACTAAATTTCCATTTTCTTTTTTTGGAGCACTATTTATGAGAATATGAGTAGATAATAAAACAGTAATGGCACTAGTGTAACTTCCATTTCTCTCTCAGCTTTCTTCCTTCAAACTAAGTGTCCCTTTCTCTCTCTTTCATCTCAACTCCAGAGGGTCAAATATTCTCAAAGGAGAGAAGATTTGAACAGACTTTTGGGAAGATAGAAAATCACAAAAAACTCCGAGGTAATTAATCAAATTAAACCCTTTTTTCCTCTCCTCGTACCTTAAAACTTAAAATTGTTTTATTGTGTTAAAATAAAAAATCTGGGTTTTCCTCTTCCATCATCAAAGTTGAGATCTTTGTATGTAACTGTTGATAAGATGTACTTTTTGTGTTAAATTTTTGGGTTTTTCTCATCAGACACAATTTCCTTGATTTTTAGTTTGTTGAGATCTTTGGTGATTTTTTGGGTTTTTCAATGTTAAGATTCCTCTTTTTTCTTCAACCTTCGTTTTTTTCTTTAAATTATTCTTTAAATGTTTCTTTATAATTCGAAAACTGCAATTTTGATAAATTTTATGGGCAATTTAATTACAGAAAGAAAGGTGTGGTCTTGTTCTGCTCTGATTCTTCCATAGATTCCCAGTGGCTGGTTTTGGTTCATGTTCATTAATTTATCCGGGAAATATGTTCTTTATCTGGTTTGTTGATGGGTGGTGGTTTTCAATACTTCAATTACTGATTTATTTAAAATTGTATTTTCCCACAAAGTAACTTTTTAAAAAATAGCATAAATATCTGTTTTTTTAATTGAAATCTAGCATTTTCTGTAAATGATCTTCATTATTTTGTCATCAATTCAATTATATATCCAAACATTCCACTTAATGGTTGTTCTGATTCTCCATCTTTTATGGCATTATTTATCTGTTTATTAATTTCTCTTGCTGATAAATCCCAGTTTTTCTGTTCTATGTGCTCTGTTATTTTTACCAAGCTAAAGTTTTCTTTTTTGGGGGGGTTTAATTTAGGTGGAAAGGGTTATACAAGAAGAATAAGCATATTTACTGGATTTTTTTGGATCTCTGGGACAGTGAAAATGATGATGTTCGACGACATCGGGTTCTGCAATGATCTCAATTCGTTCTTGGCGCCACTCAAGGAGCCAGCCGGCGTGGTGGCCCCACGAGCAGAGCTGGAGGCGGAGCCTGCGGTTGTGGGGGAGGACGACGACAAGTACAACAGCGATGATGAGGTGGATGATGTGGAGGAGCTGGAGCGGAAGGTGTGGCGGGACAAGATGAAGCTGAAACGGCTGAAAGAGATGAGCAAGAACAGCAAGGAGGAGTGTTTGGATGCCGCGAAGCAGCGGCAGTCTCAGGAGCAGGCGAGGAGGAAGAAGATGTCCCGGGCGCAGGACGGGATCCTCAAGTACATGTTGAAGATGATGGAGGTGTGTAAAGCACAGGGGTTCGTTTACGGGATCATCCCGGAGAAAGGGAAACCCGTCAGCGGGGCGTCCGACAATCTCCGGGAGTGGTGGAAGGATCGGGTGAGGTTCGACCGCAACGGGCCTGCTGCGATTGCCAAACACCGGCGCGAGAATGCGGGGAGCAATGAGACGGCCGACCCGGCGGCGGGGCCCACCCCGCCGCACACCTTACAGGAGCTCCAGGACACCACCCTCGGCTCGTTGCTCTCGGCATTGATGCAGCATTGTGACCCCCCTCAGAGGCGGTTCCCCTTGGAGAAAGGGGTCCCGCCACCGTGGTGGCCCACAGGGGATGAGGAGTGGTGGCATCAGTTGGGGATCCCGATGGAGCAACGTGGTCCCCCGCCTTACAAGAAGCCGCACGATCTCAAGAAGGCGTGGAAGGTCGGCGTCTTAACCGCCGTGATCAAACACATGTCCCCTGACATCACGAAGATCCGGAAACTAGTGAGGCAGTCCAAGTGCTTGCAAGACAAGATGACGGCCAAGGAGAGCGTCACTTGGCTCGCCATCATCAACCAAGAAGAAGCTCTGGCTCGGGAACTTTACCCCGACAAATGCCCGCTCATACCCTCCTCTAGCGGAATATCCTTCTCCTCTTTAAACGACGACAACGGGGAGTACGAGGTTGACGACAGTGGGCCCAATGGAGATTGTTCGGTGGGATTTTCGATGAAATATGAAATGACTTCGGCGCGGGTATGGCCGACCGAGAACTCAATCCTGCCTCCGCCACTGGGCGGGCCCGATGATTTTGATGCCCGAGAACAAAAGCCAAGTCACGCGAATCTGCTTATTATGGCACCCCGGCCTCCTCCCACAACTTTGGATTTTAGTATGAGGAAGAGGGGGCCGGAGAACGAAACGCCGGTCTTCTTGGATCACAAGAAGGTCTACACTTGTGAGTTCCTTCACTGTCCTTACAGCGAGCCCCGCCTCGGGTTCGAGGACCGTTTGGCTAGGGACAATCACCAGTTAAACTGCCCGTACGCTGCCCGCTTCAGGAATTTCCACATCAACCAAATGGGGCCTCCGCCTTCACCCGCTCCTATCGTCTTCTCGCAACCTCCCGTCAATCCGAACCCTCCTTCGTTCAATCTCCGGGTCCCAGAAGAAGGACAGAGAACGATCAACGATCTCATGTCTTTCTACGACACAAACATTCACGGGAACATCTTCGAAGACAGTAACAACAACAACAACAACAACAACAACAACATAAGTTCTTCTCCCCGTCCCATGTTCACACCGTTCATGTTCGGGCCTTCGTTCGACAATCTCCCGTCCTCGGATTACACTCAAGGAAGTACACTCGGTGTGGGGCCCGAGCCAGAGAAAGGCGTTCACGTTCCCCATTGGTACTAGCAATTCAAGAAGTTTCGTGACGTTGGCCTGCCTCATTGAGGTGAATTAACGTTACGCTACAAATCATTTTACTACTTCCTTAACCACACACACACACACACACACACATATATAGTTATAGAATTATCCAATGGTTCACGCCATGCTCGATCGAGGGATTTTCTGCATCGAAGAACCTGTAGATGTTTAATAAGTTCTCGTTTCGGTTTACGTTTCGGTTTTCACATATATATATATTATAAAGATGTGTTATATATCTATTAAGGCAAGGGGCATTGCAACATATGGTATCTATTTTGTGTCTGTTGTTTGGGTTCACTTTATATTTTTGACACTTTGGTGCCTAAAAGCTAGAACCATGCCTTTGTTATGTATTGTACATTTTATTTTCCAGGCCTTGTTTGGTTCTTGAATATATATATATTTGTCTCTCTCTCCCTTTGTGTCTCTGATTTCTCTTTTCTGCAATAAGGTTTGTTTATTGCTAAGTCCACATCTAATTTGGGTGCATTTGCAGTATTTATGTGAAATAGACAAATTTACCCTTAAAGTTGTTCATTTCTTATATTTTCTGACCCACTCTCTTTGTCCATTTTTCCTTTTTGAATCGTCTAATTGTTTTTGTCTACTTTCTTTCTTGGTAAGTGTAATATCCTCAAATTGTCTATTTTGCCCTCTCTTATTAAATGTACCCGACCCACTATCTACCACCTATAAGGGTAATTTAGATAATTTAATTTCCACTTCTTTATCTCAAGCTTTGTGGTATTTGTCTAAAAAGTCAAGTGAACACAGAGAGTGGAACGGAAGGAGTATATGCAGGATTTACTTCGACAGAGTGTGAATTTTAAATTATACCATAAAAAATCTTGCAACATTGTAACTTTTTGTAGTAAAAGTTAAACATGTGATGACTCTTTCTACGAACCGGGCACACGTTAAGACAATTTTTTCTGAAGAACACGCTGCGATTATGTCGTGATTTATTTCTTCACTTTTTGTTCCAATAAGAAGAAGATATACTCACTCACTATATTCACATGTTCTTGGAATCTTAGGAAGGTCAAAATGGGGAATGTCTGAAATCAGTTTGAGATTTGAGGAACATCAATCCAAAAGGGATGACAAGTTGATTGTCTCCATCTTGAAGGAAGGGAAATGTGGGTAAGTGCCCCACAAGGTGCCCTTAAAAAGATTGGTTCATTGCATTGTTACAGACATCATATCATCTTCTTGTGCCCTCCCAACACATGTCCCTGCCCCACAGCATCTCCCTTTTCCCCTCTCTCAATATCCCCTCTTTCTGCGCCAAAAGAAAAGGGCTTGAAAAGAAATTTTTTTAATTTTTTTGTTTGTCCCTTAATTGATTCGCATTTATTAGAGTTTAACCCCATATTTAGTATTTATTCGTTCGCGAATAAAGTTCTCGCTTTTCTTTTTCACCTGTCTCAAAATAGGTTTTCTTTTCTTCTATTTTTTGAATAAAAATAAAAAAATGAGTGGTTCACGATATTTTTATATATGCATCATGGACCTACATATGAGCAAAATAAGTACTTCTTTACTACTTAAATAAGCATTTGTTTTTTTGAATAAAAAATAAAAAAAATGTGTGAGAAGGTCTACAAAATTGATATGCAGCCAAGGTGCATCATACCATTTTTGTGGATCTTCTCACATAAAATTGTTTTTTTTAATTTTTTTATTAAAAAAATAAATACTTATTTAAGTAGTAAGAAAAAGTTTGTTTTGTTCATATGTTGATCCATGGGTCCACCTTAGAATTTGTGAACCTAAGGTTATGTAGATAGTCTTCTCAAAAGTTAATTCTAACAACTAATTTTGTTGCCAAACATGGTCTTAGTCTATTAAATAATGAATGAGATCTATTTGCTACATGCAATGCTTTTATGATAGACGTGATTGCCCTTTGTTCTCAAAAATCAAACTCAAACATTATCTTTAATTTACGCAAATAGAAATTAAATATATAATTTATAGGACTAGTCCTATCTATTTTGATGTTATTGTACATTTTAAGTAGAATAAGACATAATTTTAAAAAACAATTCGAATAGTCATCAAAATAATCAGTCATTATCCAATAATACTTGTTGCTAATGATGATATTCGTAGAATCATTTGTATAATCAATCATTATTCAATATTTGTTGTTAATGAGGACATATATGACACATCATATAGAATTATGTGCTATAAAGGTAATAAAACATACTTGATCCTATTCAATGAAATATACTACTTCCTCCGTCCCTGACTATTTGTCCATTTTTGACATTTTTCGGTCAAAATTAGTAAACTTTGACCTCACATTAAATAAAAATGATATTAGATATTGATACAAAAATAGTTTTATTAGATTTATTAAATCAAATATTTTCAAAACATTATTTTATCTAATCAATATACAATATATATTTTATTTAATTATAGGTCAAATTTTAAAAATGGTTGACCAAAAAAAGTCAAAATTGGACAAATACTCAGGGACGAACGTATTATCCTTTATTCCTATTTGGAGCAAATTTTTCTTTCACATTCTCTTGTCATTTAAATTAGATTTTGTTAGGGATGATAGATTATATTAAGATATTTAGTTAAATACGGAGTATTTATTAGTCGATAATTATTTGTTTTGTTAGTATATTATGTGGTGTAATAATGCAAAAAGATTATACAAAAACCTAAGAGCATAGTTCAAAAATCAGTATAAAAAAACCATAAGATATGAATGAGACATGCACCAAATTAGCCAAATGTTCCAAATGATACGAATTTTACGTTAACAGAAAATTAAATTTGATTTTTAAGGTATTTTCCTACCAATCAGTGAGCATACAGTGAATGGGAAGTTACTGGACTTGCACCCCCTAAAATGAAGGTTCTTTTGTGGTTAATAAAGATGGATTGAATTTATTTTTAAATTTATTTATTACTCCTCCATCCAAAAATATTCTTTCGCTTTGACATTTCACGGTCTGTAATATTTTACTTTGACCATTAATATCTATATTATTTATACATAGATGTAGTTTATAAAAATTTGATATTTGCAAATTACTTTTCAATTGGAATATATTAATACTAAATTTATATCCACTTTGGTTCCCATGACATTAGGAACCAATGTCATGAGATGACCCGGAGGTGCTCCGGTGCCCGTTCGTAAAATTGACAGTTCCTACCCCTCCTAATCCACACTCCGCCCCGACCCAAACACGGCCCCCACCCCCTTCAATTGCACCCCCCAAGTTAATTTTGACTTTGGAGTCAAATTTTGACTCTAAAGTCAAAATTAACTTGGGGCTGCAATTGAAGGGGGTGGGGGTCGTGTTTGGGTCGGGGCGGGGTGGGAGGTTTACCGGGGCGTTAGGAGGGGTAGGAACCGTCAATTTTACAAACGGGGCACCGGAGCATTCCTGAGTCATCCCATGACATTGATTCCCAATGTCATGGAAACTGGCCTCATTTATATCATAATATAATGTATTTTTTCACATACCGAAGTCAATGTTTATAAACTTTGACCTAGAAAAGTCAAATGAGAAAAACATTTTCAGACAGATCCTCTGGATTAGAGGTTCGTGAAAGATTTTGTGCTCAAACCTGAATACTGATCTATCCACTCCCTTCGTACTTAGTTTAAAATAAATTTGTAACAACAAAAAACTTAAGAAAAGTGCTAAAAAATGGTTAAAATTTGTTTATAAGAGAAAAACATTGTGATATTGTGAGATGCATTATTTTCTTAAAAAAAGAAATGTGAGAAACATAAATCTAATATTATAACATTATGATATCACTTCTTTTTTGCAAAACTTTGGATATGATTCTTAAATATACAAAATATATATACTTTTTGACAAATACAAAAAAATATTTTTTGTTTCTATTTAATTTTTAAGGCAAATTGAATCAATCATAGTTAACTAAGGCTCTGTTCCGTTGAACTTATTTTTTCTGATCTGATCTGATTTTTTGTAGTTTTGATCTGATCTGGTCTTGCTGATCTGATCTCATTGGATCTGATCAGATCTGATTAGATCTGACCTGATCTGATCTGGTGTGATCTGATCTCATTAATTATGATTTGATTTAAAATTCAAATCAATAATTTGATTTGAGTTTATAATAACGTTTGAAAATTGTATTGATAATTCATATTATAATATAATCAATATTTTTTATTTTATAATTTTTTTAATAATGTTTTTTATTTTATGATTATTTTAATTTAATAATATTTTTTATTTTATGATTATTGTTTGTGAAATAAGAATATTGATTTAATATTTTAATAATTAGTTCATACATACATTAGAATAAATATTTAATTTATATAAAATCAATACAGAGAAGAGATAGTATTTTTATTAAAATATCTCATCCTTATAAAAGATCAAAACTTTAGAAACTCAAATTACATGTAGCAATAAAAATGTATTTTAAAAGTAGAATTAATAATAATAATAATAATAATAATAATAATAATAATAATAATAATAATAACAACCACAACAAAAATAATAATAATAATAATTCTTTATGAGATCTGATCTGGTCTGGTCTGATCTGATTGGATCTGATCTGAGTAGATCTAGTCTGATCTAATCTTATCTGATCTGATTTGATCTGATCTGATTTGATTTTAATAAGAATAAAAAAATAAGAAAAAATAAGTTGAACAGAGCAGGACTTAAATAGTGTCTTATTTTGAAACAGGAGAATATTTGTTTTACTATGGATCATTGAGTAATGAGTATATTTTATACACTTTGCCATGTGCTTCCCATTGTGTATATATGAATTCCCAAATCACCAACAATCCGATTTTGATGGCCGACTCTTTTTGACCCATAGACACATAGGGAGTACTCCTCCAAATCATTTGTCCTTAGGTTAATTTTTGTGTTGATTTTGATCATAAACTATGAAAATGTATATTTAAGTATAATGTAAATTTAATATAATTAGTTCGTTCTAAAATGTAGTTTTTAAACCTTTAATTTATTTAATATTGTATTTATTTTGTGGTCAAAATTAGCATAAAAATTTACAATTTAAGATGTAGTTTTGATATATTAATTTTTTATAAACTTTTTTTATTTAATATTATACTCCGTATTTAATTAGTGTTCAAAGTTAACATAACAACTAACTAGGACAAATAATTTGAAAGAGAGATAGTAATGAACAATGCTATTTAAATTCTCACAACAAAGTTACTCTTTAATTTTATGACGTTTAAAAAATTGTTAAAAGATACTCACTCCGTCCTAAAACGATTTACATTTTATGCGAAACAAATTGAAATTTAAACCATTTTAAATTTATTTTATCTAAAAATTGATATATAAAATAAAAAAGAGTTACATATTTAAAAAATACGTCAAAAATTTTACAAAATAATAAGTGACAAAAATTTTTATTTTTGAACCCACAAATGATAACACGCATGGGTCCTC